TTTTTTTTGCGCTGTTAAGATTAACATCCATTACAGTAATCGCTGCAGCAGGGGCTAGTCACCGTTGTTTTAAATCAATTCTGTGACTAGAGTGACATAATGATACCAGAAATAAACCCGAAAAATGAAAATAAAACCCCAAAATTTCAGTAGAGACATTGACTTTCGTGGTTAAGTTGGATGAGAAACAAACCAAGTCTCAGTTGGTGCTCATCTTCCTCTGGCTGGCACATATTTAAAAAGATTTCATGGTATATTTATTTGTAGAAGCCTAGTTTTTTTTTTCTTTCATTTATGCTAAGCACTGTATTATATGCTTGAGGAATGTTGTCATTATTTTGATTCTTTTGCTTTAATGTTTTCCAGTTGCTGACTGTCTGATGGGAGTCTATCTTTTGTTCCTGGGGATATTTGATGTGAAATTCCGGGGCGAATATAACCGGAATGCTCTTATCTGGATGGATAGCGTGGAATGCCGAACGATTGGCTTCCTCGCCATGCTCTCCTCTGAAGTGTCTGTTCTTCTCCTCACCTACTTGACACTAGAGAAATTCCTAGTCATCGTTTTCCCGTTTAGCCATCTGCGGCCCGGGAAGCTGCAGACAGTGTTGGTTCTGGCCTTCATCTGGATTCTGGGATTTGTCATAGCAGTTGTTCCCTTGCTAAATGAAGACCTGTTTGGGAACTATTATGGGCGAAATGGAGTATGTTTTCCACTGCACTCTGATAGGCTGGAGAAACCAACAGCCAAAGGATACTCCACAGGGATATTTCTTGGTTCGAGTCTTTTCACTGATTTGATGTTTACTAATATATTGAAGTGTTTTCATGTATTTAGTAGTTTTGATTCTTCTATTAATATAATATACACTACCAGTCAAAATTGTAAAATATTTAAGCTTTTTAATGTTTTTGAAAGAAGTGTTATGCTCACCAAGCCTGCAGTTGTTTTATCAAAATAATATTGTGAACTATTACAATTACAATTGAAAAGAACTGTTTTCAATTTGAATGTTTAAAAATGTAATTAATTACTTTGATGGCAAGATGTATTTTCAGTTGCTATTACCGCAATCTCTAGTGTCACATGATTCTTCAGAAATCATTTTAAAATGCTGATTTGGCACTCAAGAAACATTATCAATGTTGAAAACTGTCATGCTGCTTAATTTATTATTTTTATTTTATTTTTTTATTTTGTGGAAACCGTGATCATTCAAAAGTCTGGGGCAAATAAGATTTTCTTTTCTTTTTTTTATAAGAAATTAATACTTTTATTCCTCAAGGATGCATTCAATTGTTAAAAAGTGACAGTAAAAACATTTGGTTACACTTTACTTGAAGGGGTGTGCATAAGAC